CACCATAACCAAAAGAATTATCATATATTCCGTTATAATAGCTACAATAAGTAAGTCACTGAAGTAGACACTTGACACAGCCTAAGAATTACTGATCATGGTCAAATTACCTAACCAAACAGAGATTACTGAGTTTTATATAAACATATAAAACATAACAATGCTCATATTCCTGAGTTTTCAAAATTTCAGAAGCAAAAAAGTGTTATGACCAAAATTAATTGCAATGAAAAATCTTAGAAAAACATGTAAACAGAAACATTTTATCTTTGCTTTTATCTTTGGTCAGACAATTCTACAGCTAGCAAAACGATGAATCTTGTACAGTTCTGGCTACAGCTCTGCGTAGTTTCTCAAAACCTCAACAAGTAAATAAAAAAGAATTAAAAAAGTAAATTAAAAAAATAAGCAGGATCAACAGCTAACAGGGGAGGCTGGATTAACATTAGTATATACTGTTGCAGAGTGTAGAAAGTGAGAGACACAAAACATTCACCCATGACACCACAAAGGGTATTGGTAACAAACACCACCTCAACAGCAGAGGCCCATAACTAGACAGAGGTGACACAAGTGTTAAAAATTGTTAGGACATATCAAAAATAGTCAATAAATACTTTGATTCTATAGTTGGAAAGATTCAAAATGGTATAATTGTATCACATTATATTGATTTTCCTTCCAACTCATTTGTTAAGCAGATGTTCCAGATCAGATGTTAAAAAACATTGTGAGAAAAACATTTTAAATCAGCATACTTGTTAAACTTATCTCAGAGTCCTGGAGTAGTCAGCCCAGCAAATCTTTGATCTGTTGATGCTCTTTTAAAACTATATATTTTAAGATCTGTATGTGTCTTTAAATGCTAGGGCCTGACACCATGCAGGAGTGAAAACACAGTGTCAAAGGGACGAATCAAGTTTAAGGCAGTCTGATATGATGGAGAATTCAGATGAGATAACAAGAACTAAGGAAAGACAGATGCATTCAAATGTATTCAAACAATAATTGCATGCCTTATTTTTAAATAGTGGCAAAGATGAATCACTGAAACAAGTCATCCAGAAAAGTAAATGGTAGATTCTCAGTATCTCAATACACTTTAAAAAAAATAAAATAAAAGCTTAGCCCATCAGAAGTTCCAAAATCAAACCCATTGAGATAAGAACTGATGCTGTAATACATTTAAGGTGAAACGCTCTTGCATTAAGATAGATGCAGTACTTAATGCAAGTTAACTCCAGAAAGTACATGAACTTTTCACATACACAACTAGATTAATTAGTAGCATGGTAGTAATGGTCTTTAATAAACCTAAAATAACGATTTGCCAGCCCATTAACAGAACAAAAATCCCTCCAAATTAAATAGTACAGAAGGATAATGTTGGGGTTTTTTAAATAGAACACCATGGTACTGTCTCATTTCTGCTGTATTCAATTCAGTATCACTAACACCTGATTCTGCCTAATATTCTCAAACTAATTCCAAAGAGATTTCGGGTCATGTTACGAGTCAGTGCTTTTGGGAAATCTACATCTAACCATTAACAGAGGCAGAATACCCATTTCTATTCTGTTTGGTAACTCATCAACTTTTATGTAAGATAAATGCTAAATGCTCAATGTTCATCTCCAAGGTCTGGATGTAGTCTGGACTAACTGCTCCAGCTCAGCTCTTTTTGTCACAGTTACAAATATGGTCAACTGTTTTGCCTCAAGGACAGTCACACATGGATTCAGGTAAGATTCAGAAAAACCACACTTTTTTCTATTCAATGTCATTAAAAAGAGCAGGAATTACTAGATTATAGTGGGGGACCTCAAACTACATTATTTTCAAGTTCTTTTTGTGAAAGCAGTTGATCACAGAAGTTGCAACATCAGAAAAAATAAGGTCACTCGGTTAAGTGGCAAAAACATTCTTAAATAAAACAAACACCTAAAACACCATTTCCTAAAAGCTGGAAATGGTACCAGCTATACCTTTTGGAGGTCAAAACCAGAGTTCAAGCCTCACCAACGTAACAACCAAACACAGTCAAGCAACTCCTTCTATCACATTTAACAGTCCTCCTCTGACAGCACAGATCACCCAACTATGTGTGTTTTTATAGACTAGAGACTTAACTGCTTTGGGCCCCTTCCTGGGCCAGAAGAAAAAGCACACAAAACCTACAGCTTATTTGCTTCAGAGCAGTGTAGAGCCTAAGTCAAACAGTTTAGATAACATACCACGTTTGCACTCAGCAGACATCACTGGCTCCTGATCTAAAATGCTCTTACACGTGCTAATCAACAAAGCCTCCAATGGACTAGGAACTGATTATCTTAGAAACTGTCTATCCTCCACAACAGCTGTTGTCAATTACAGCAGCATACCTAACAGTTTAAGATAAAACTCCTAAGGATGGAGCATGAAGTAAACTTTCTAAGACTTCATCAACAGAATTCCTTTCAGGGCAAAGTGTAAACCAGTTCTTTGCACAGCCCTTCCACAGTGAAAAATGAAGTTGTAATAGCAACAACAACCTGGAGACGGCAAAGATGATCTCTACATTAGCATAAATCATAGGAAGGCAGAGAATGTATAACACATTTCCACTAAATCACACTTTTCTTGCACATTAGTACAAGGTAACCAAGTCTAAAAGATTCAAGTGCAAACAAAAGAGAAAAGCGCAATGTTCAAGTAAAGCCAACGTGGTTATGTAAAGAGGGAAAAATGTAAGGAATGTTTTCACTTATATTTCTCAAAGGTAACTGCTTTTCTCACAGGCAGCAAAGTACTTTCAGAAAACCTCTGAACCAATTTTGTGTGGCAAGTAAGCTTTGCTAATATTACAGCTTAATAAGAAAAACTGTAAACATCAAGTTTCTGGCTTAACTCAGATTTACAAGAAGGCAAAATGAAGTAAAACATGCAAGAACCTCATCAGTTCAATTAATCATTGACCAAAGCTACCAACAGAAGCTTTACTTAGTCGCCTTTCCATCCAAAAAGCTGGAAAACAGCCTCTTGTTTTCATCTCACTGACAAAAGGATGTCATTAGTATCTTTTCAAATGTTCAGTTTTCACAGGAATTTACCATATCTGTAGTACCTAAATTATGAAGCCATCATAAAATCTAAGGGGGGGGATGCACCATCTTTCCAGTATGCACTTCACACATCTAGCAATTGCTCATGTTCTCGTACTTTGCTATGCTCTGAAATTCACCATGTGGGTTTGCAGCCCATACAGCTCCAGTTGTTGGCTCAACAGCAAAGTTGTCAATTTCAAGCAAGAAAATATACAAAAAAAGTTTTGAAATTCACAAGTTTATTTGGAATAGGCTCTGTTTGTTTACCTGACAGTCTGAACTTTGATTTCAACACAGTATTACTTTTAACAACTTCAGCAATCGCTACTATTTATATACATCCATATGACCCCTACGGGTACAGCATTTAGGTCAAACGTGGGCCACGTGTGTCAGTAAAAAAAAAAAAGCCTGACAACTGGTAATCACAATTGTGTTAACTCACAATTACAGCTACTACACTAACAAAATGAAAAAAAAAAAAAGACTGGTTTCAAAAATAGAATCCATTAGCACCCACAAACAATGTAACTTTCTTATTGCCCAGTTTTAGATCTTACAGTATTTCAACGTCTCAGTTGCAACTGTAACAGTGGAGATGATTTAGAGATGGGATCTAGGACTAATTCAACTGAATATTTAATGAACCTCAAATTCTTAAAAATATTTTTAATAACAACAATCAGCCCACATATAATTGGAATGTATTTTGGAATCTTTAGCTTTCACAGAGTAAGTATTATCAGTAAATAGCTGAACTAAAGTGTGACCAGTAACAAAACTGACATATTACAACTTCAATGAAGTTTCTTTAGTCTGCAAAGAGACTTATGTGGTGCTTTTTAACCAAGTTTCAGAGCTTTGTATGGGAAGGTAACCAGGATTACTGAGTCAAGCAGGGAATGGAGCTGAGTTGCAGAGCTAGAAGTGTATTCTTTTCTCCCAAGTGCCATCCCAGTACATTTTGTACATGATTCTTTCACTTGTACACCTCTTTCATGAGTATACCACCAAAGCGATGCTATTCCAGCATGATGGAACAACTGTTTCTTAAAAGCAAACCATAAAGCCTCCAGGATGTGTAATACCACAGGGCATGTAGCTAAACTGAACTACTGATGGGTACAGTACAGCAATCTCACTGTATGAAACTCTCAAACAGCTAAAATGTGTTAATTGCAGCCTATACACACAAATGCAAACTTGTACACCACTTGAACTGCTGTATCCCAAAGAAAAACACGTGTGATGGTTAAACATCTACCACTGATGGCAATGGACAGCTAGCACAGACTGAGTCAGGTAGGTGAGAGCAGGGAGGTAGATAGGCTCTGGGGCAGGAAGACTGAAGGGAACGCAAGCTGCTTCTAGAAATTCTCTTTCGAAGGCCTGGAGGGAAGAAAAATTAAAATAGCCATGAAGACCTTCAACTTCCCTCTTCAGCCATCGGAATCACCAACAACAATTAAATAATTAAAAAAAAATAATTAAAAAAAAAAAAAATTTAAAAAAAAAAGCCAACCCAGAGGGGGAAACCTTGTGACAAATCTGCCTCCTCCTCCCTCCCTGCTCTCACCTCCCGGCAGCGAGGCTCTGGCTGCACAGCTCCCTGCCGGGATCACCTGCCCCCGGCACGCCCCGGGCCGCCGCTGCTCCCGGCGGGACCCCGCGGGAGGAAGGCGGGAGAGGCCGAGGAGCGGCGGCGGCGCGGGGCGCGCAGGCCTCGGCGCCCCCCCG